CATGTATATCCTGAATTCTTTATCTGACATTCCATCTGCTGCAGCTGTTACCTCTTCTAAAGTTGCGTTGACCTGCATTGCTTGTGGTCCTTTCTTTCCTTGTCTTTTCATACTGCTTGCGTATCTTTCCTGCAGGTGCGGGCGGCGGCTCTGCTCTCTCCTTATTCCAATTGGGGTGTCGTGGCTACCACGCCGGCAGGTCACTGGGCCTGTTCTGGGCGCTGGCGGCGGCTCTGTTCTGCCCCTACTCCAATTGGGGTGACGAGTGTACCACGCCGGCAGGCCACCAGGCCTGATCCGCCGGTCGGTTGCAGGTTTGCCTACCCTGCAGGCGCAGGCGGTGGCTCTACTCTGCCCCTACTCCATATGGGGTGACGTGTCTGTCGTACCGGCAGGCCACTGGGCCTGTCCCGCTGGTCGGTCGCAGATCTGTCCACCTTTCGGGCATGGGTGGAGGCTCTGCTCTGCCCCTACTCCAATTGGGGTGTCGTGACTACCCCGCCTGTAGGACGCTGGGCCTGTTCCTGGCACGGGCGGCGACTCTGCTCTGCCCCTACTCCAATTAGGGTGGTGTGTGTACCACGCCAGCAGGCTCCTGGGCCTGATTCGCCGGTCTGTTGCAGGTCTGCCTACCTTGGAGGTGCGGGTGGTGGATCTGCCGTGCCCCTCCTACCACGCCTGTGGACCCCTGGGCCTGATCTGCAGGTTGGTCACAGGTCTGCTCACCCTGTGGGCACGGGTGGCGGTTCCGCTCCGCCCCCACTCCAATTGGGGTCACGTGGCCACCACACCGGCAGGGCCTGATCCGGGCGTGGGAGAAGGATCTGCTCTGCCCCTACTCCAGTTGGGGTGACGTGTGTACCACACTGGCAGGCCACTGGGCCTGACCCGCCAGGCTGTCACAGGTCTGTTTACCTTGCAAGCGCGAACAGCAGCTCTGCCCTGCCCCTCCTACCACGCCCATGTACCACTGGGTCGCGGGTCTGCCCACCTTGCGGGTGCGGGTGGCTGCTCCGCTCCGCCCCCTCTCCAATTGGGGTCACGCGGTCACCACACTGGCGAGCCGCTGGGCCTGCTCCGGGCGCTGGCGGCGGCCCAGCTCCTCCCCTCTGGCTGGACGACAAATTGAGGAGACTCGGGTGTCTGTGCCTCACTCCCCCTACCAGGAGACCAACTGTTTATGTCTCCGCTGGTATTGATGAAGTTCTCTCCTCCACCACTTTCTGATGACATCAGATCTCTGCCATGTTGGTATCCTATGCGAATGGTAGCATTTCGTTCCCCTTGCCGGGCAACCAAAGCAACGGGTGAGTCCTGACCGGCCCTCAGCAGGACCCGGACCGAGAAGCAGTTTCCGTGGGCTCCTAGCCCTGGGCCAGGGAAGTTCCGGGAGCCCGAACTCGGCCGCTCCGTGCTCAGTGTAAGCTCCTATAAGAGTAGGCTCCAAGAAGCAGTCCCCGCGGGCTCTGTTCCGGGAGCCGGAATTCGGCCGCTTAGTGCTTGGTGTATGCTCTGATAGGAGCAGGGTCCAAGAAGCAGCCTCCGCAGGCTCCGCAGCCCTGGGCCAGGGCGGTTCCGGGAGCCAGAACTCGGCCGCCCCGCGCTCAGTGTTCGCTCCGATAAGATCAGGTTCTAAGAAGCACCCAGGCACTGAACCCTAGCAATCAATCTGTCTGCAAGCCGCAGGCGAATTGCAGCCTGAAATTACCTGTTCTGTGGCTGAATGAGCTGCGGTCAGTCGAAAACAGGGATGGTGACGTCAGCTTTCCAACATGGTGGCTGCTGGCCTCCTCTGTGGTCTGACCGGTGTGGAGAACCGAGATGGACCGCTTCCTTCCCCCGTCTCGAACCCAGAATTCAGCCCTGAGTACGGTGCTTGCACGGCTGGCAGAAACTGCAGCGCTGTATCCCTGCGTCGCTATCTCCTCATTTCCCAGCGCGCGCTGCAGACTCTAGCCGCGGGGCAATTTACTGAATAAGCAGTGTTACCCTCTGTGCGACAAACCTCTCGCGTTTGAGTCCCCGTAGCCGATCCTCGTGCGATGGAAATCCTTCCTCCAGGTTCCGGAGCACCCCACTATTGCTGGAAATTCCTAACAAGATAGCCTTTAGCCGTCCTGACTTGTCATACTCCCACACAGTGAAGCAGCACACGGGGGCAATGCACTCCCCTCGCCTCCATCTTCCTAAATCCTTAACATTTTATTTAACAGTATTTCCTGCAGTTTATTACTCCATGGTCTTGTCTATAGATTAGATTCTTTTTTAGAACTGCAGAGTGCTCCATTTTGTTTATTGAATTAGTCTCCTGTCAATGGGAAATTGGTTTGCTTTCATTTTCTTATTATTTCAAATATTGGTCAATAAATAGATATTTATATATTTTTGCCAGTGTATCTCATAATTTTTAGAGATTATGTTTGTAATCTGTCTAGATCTTGCTAAATTTCCCCTCCATAAGATTGTGACATTTTCATATTTCCTGTTTACCTGCAGCCTATATAAAATTATATATATATAGTGTGTATTATATATATATATATATATATATATATATATATACATATATAATTATATATAGTGTGTGTATTATATACATATATACATATATAATTATATATAGTGTGTATTATATACATACATATATATATACATATATAATTTTTTGTATTTTAAAACTCTAATCCATTTGAAATTTATTTTTTCTTATGTGATACATGGAACTATCTAATTTTTGGTTTTCACATGTTATCAGGTTAATGTAATTTTACTTACTGAAGAATCCATCTTTTCTTCCCTGGTTTAAAATACTACCTTTCTTATATGTGCTAAATTTCCATATTCAAATAATTCCACTGCTCTATATCTCTTTTCATTTTTTCCTATTATTTCTGACCTGCATTTGGTTACAGTGAAAATTAGGATTATGTAATGCAGTAAAACCTTTTAGACCTAAAATCCATTGTGTAAATAGTTGATTAACTTCTTTTTTTAATTTGTTTTAATTAGTTACACATGACAGTACAATGATCTTGACATATCATACATTTGAATCAGATGGGATATAATTTCTCATTTTTCTGTGATTAACTTCTTTAGTTTAAATGAGGAAAAGAAATTCACTCTTTTACATGTAGCTAAAAGAATGTAAACCTAAGTAGATACTTAAAAATAAATTGTCTAAACTTTTCTTTCTTCAGAGCCTCAACAGGGTTTTGTAGAGAAGCACCTTGGTGTAATTAATGTATGGGGTCATGCTCCATAGTCAGAGTCCTGCCCTTCAGTAGCTGCTTTGTTGTGAGCAAGTTCTTCCTTTCTCCAAGTCATTGTTTCCTCCCTTTTAAAAGGGAGATAATACATTTCTTTCAGAGTTGTTGTGATCATAGAAATGTCGGCATGCCCTCATAGTGCCTGTGCGCAAAGGGCACTCAGTGAGCCTCAGTTCTGTTCTTACTCCAAGGGAATATTCACCCATAACTTTACCTTTAGATTTTCTCCAGCTACTCATGAAAGGAAAGATTTTTACACTGAAAAGCTGACTAAATAAAAGGAGCAGATGAGAAATCAAGGTTCTTTATTCTCCTATTGCTTGATAGTTGGTACTGCCCTCAGGGGATGGCTGCCTTCCTAGGCCATTTTCACCATGAAACAGGAAAGGTGAGTTCATAGTTACCATAGAAATTGAGATGTTGACTTCTGTGTAGCCTATATAAGTCTAGAAGAAGGGAAGAATTCAGAGGGGTACAGGGCTTTTCTCTTCCCAGAATAGCATTGGTTTTAGCTTTTCAGTTCAAAAGGGAATCTAGCTAAAATAATCTACATCCAGACATTTCCAGGAAACTCTCCTCTTCACAATGATTGTGCTCCTCTACCCAGAAGTTTATGTGATCTGTCCCTAGGAGGGGAAAGTATAATACAATATGTTTCTGCCTAAAATGAAATGGAGAGCCGAACATTTTTCTGGCAAAGTGTAATAATTTATTTTTCAGGATCCTCATATCTGATTTTCCTTCATAGAATTGTATTTTGCCTCATTTAGTCTAATAATTTTCAAAATTATTTATTTTAGGTTGTAATAAATTGTGTTTAAGGATATGTGTTTTGAAAACTTTTTAAAATTGAAATTGTTTTCAGAGTTAACTTCACTCCTTCCTTTTTTTTTATACTTTGTTAAAAAAATGTTTTGGTAGTTGTAGATGAATAGCATCCCTTTATTTTGTTTATTTTTATGTGATGCTAAGGATCAAACCCTGTGCCTAAAACAGAGCTAGGCAAGAGCTCTGGCATTTAGCTACAGCCCCAGCCCCTCACTCCTTCCTTTTAAAGTAAACCCTTTGAAAGTATTTTATGCAAGTTTTCATTCATGGAAAACACCCAGAAAGGTGCTACATAAATATGATTCAATCAATTTTATATAATACTAATCAGATTATATTCATATAGAATTTTAAAATGTGTTTTTAAATACACTTTATTTAATCTTTGCATTAAGAGTATGCTATGTCAGTATTATTTAGCATAGATTATAGCTGAATAGACAAAGACTTGAAAAGTTTTGTCCGACACAGGGTCTCATAGCCAACCAGCGCTCTAGACTAGAAATTTTCATTGCATATTATTAGTGTTCTTGTCACAATACTACCACTGAAATAAATTCATAATCAGCCAGAGTGCTAGTTTAGTAATCCATATATATGCAGTTTTCCACTTTTAAGATTGCTTCACATATCCTTTTGAATGAATCCTATACTTCTTTTGCAGTGCTCCTTTTATAATCTTTCAACCTTTCTTAATTTTCTTAGTTAATATATGAATAGGTAAGTAGTCCTTTGAAATGTTCACATGAGAACTATTTAAACTATTATAGAATAATACTCTGGTTAATTGAAATCTCTTGAGGATAAGTCACACAGACACATGCACACACAAATTTTAAGGCACAAAAGTTGCACTGTTCATTAAGAAAGAACTTAATGCTAAGGTCGGGTTTTATTTTCCAGGTGGCGTTGCATGCTTGTGGAGTGGCTACAGACATGGTGATTGAGCACTGCATCAAAACACGGGCTTCCTTTGTCACATGCCCTTGCTGTTATGGTTTCATTCAGAACACCTCAAAGTTTAATTTTCCAAAAAGGTGAAATTTAGTATTCTACCTTAGACACCAGTGTGCATGCCAGACTTGTTTGATAGGAAGTTGCAGTGAGATTTTACATGCAGTTTATTGACTTTCCACATGGCAAGTGTTGTTTATAAATTGTACAAGAAAGGATCTTCTCTGTGTCTGTCTCTGATTTTACCCATGGATCCAGCTCTTGCTGAAATTTAGAAGTAAGTCTATCTAGGTGTCAGCTAACTAGAAGTCTGTCAGTATCAGAATTTCTTTGTGTTCTTCTAAATGAAATTAAACATACCACTTGGAAGATGCAGTGAGGTACAGTGGTTAAGTGTTTAGGACCTGGACACCAGGGTGTCGATACTGTCTCCTTGTCATTGTATAAGTTATTTCATCTCGGGCAAATTACTGTCTGCCTGAATTTTCTCATGTATGAAATAAAGGTTATACTGGTAACTATCTCAAAGTTCTTGTGAGAATATGATATATGTAGTAATGTAGGACTTTAGAAGCAGCAGAGAGTAAGCACTCAATAAGTGTGAAGTGTTCCTTATAACAGTAGTAGCAGTAATATTTTTAAATTGTAGTGTTGATGATTAAATTTGATATACATTTTTTATAATCCTTCTAATCCCACATAGGAGGAGGCATTTTCATTCTTGCAGCTTTAACCCACCAGAGGAGAATCACCTTCTTCATGTTTATGACATTTTCACCCTTTAACATAGAATCCACAATAAAGACTATTGCCTGTGTCTTACTATAGTCTTTCTGCCTCCTAACTGGCCTGATGCTTCAATACATGGCCTGCATGACATGGCATAACCCTTCTTCCTGGGGAATTGTGAGAAACAAAGGAATTTTTCAATGTTTATTACCTCCTGTATATTTGCTCACTACCTTTGAATAATAATAAATTTCACACAGTAAAACACTGAATCTATTTGCTCCTATGAGAAGAGGGGAAAAAAATGGTCGTACTTCTCTAATAATGTTTCTTCCTATGAAAGAAATTCTTTAAAAATTAATAATATGCTGATAATATGCTTTTATTCTTTTACACAATATTTCAAACTGTCAGTTTTTACTTCAGATAGCATTTTATACTCTTCAGCTACAATATATATTTTTATTTGTAATTTAGTTTATTCAGTGTTCTTAATATTAGAACAGTGATTAATTCCATTTTCTTTTCTATTTCAGTGAACAATTCAAGAAAACTTTATCATACAAGGTACTCTTAATGATCTAGATGTAGATAATATACTTTTTTTTTCATAAAAGGATAATTTTATAGCACTAGACACAATGAATGATATTTTATATACAAGTACTATGTTAAAGGATAATGTCGAATTTTTACAGAAAGTGTTTATTCCATGTACATCAAAACTCAACTTGTAACATTTATAGATTGTAATATTTGCCATCTTGATGAATTTAAATTACAGTGCATTTTAATTTTGACTTACATTTTATCATTTGATAACAAGATTTACAATCTTTTTTATGTTGATTTATTACTTTGTTTTTATCATTTTAAAAATGCCTGCCCATTTTTCCATTTGTTTTTGGTTATATGTTTTTCTTTTGTTAGTTCATGCAATCTTTGCATATGCTGGATACTAATATTTTGTCAGTTACTGTGTTGAAAACAGTTTGTCCAAGTACTTGGTCAACATTTTTGCTTTATGATACCATTGGTTAATAGAAATTAAAATTAACAATCAAATCCATCAACATTTGTATTTATTATTTTTATTTTGGTATTTTAAATTCTTTATTAAATCAATGAAACACATTTATTATACTATAATTTTTTCTAAAATTTTATAGTTTTATGAAATACTTTTAATTTATTTTTTTTATTGGTTGTTCAAAACATTATAAAGCTGTTGACATATCATTTCATACATTAGATTCAAGTTGGTTATGAACTCCCAATTTTACCCCAAATACAGATTGCAGAATCACATCGGTTACACATCCACATTTATACATAATGCCCTATTAGTAACTATTGTATTCTGCTACTTTTTATCCTCTCTTTATAGTTTTCCATCTCAAATTTATGAGGGAGTATATCATCTTTAGTTATATGCAAATTACTCATGAGCATCTAATATGTATTGTATCTGGATTAACAAACCCAGATGAACTCTTTTAGTAGTTGGAGATGTGTGAAGGGTCTGATATTTTTAACCTACTTTCAAGTTATTCTGCTGTAACATATTGGTTAATATGGTGGATGCTGGTAGAAGATATGAGAATCCTGAATCAGAGACAAAAGAGTTGATTGTTCATAGCAATAACAGTAAACAGAGTACCATCATTTTTACTCTGACTCACTGAGGCCTAGTTCCCATAGGGCATCTGGAAATGGGCCAAAGGATACCTGCCTTTTGTTCTAGAGAGAGAGTGTATTTTTTTCAAGTTTGTTCACTATAAAAAATATACTTGAAAAGATAACCTGGAATAGAGAGAATTTTTTCTATAAAAGGTCAGATAATAAATATTTTAGGTTTTACCAGCCGTAAACAAATCTTTCACATATTCTTATACAGGTAAAGCAAACAATAAGAGGATGAATAAGGAAAACTAGGGAGGTGATGGGGTAGGGCACATGCAATGTCACTGGCTGGAAAAGAATGTAAAATTTCTGAAATGCAGAGATGTTGCACACAAAAGCAGAAAATCTCTAGAACCCCCAAAGTTGAGTTTATCTCCTCAAACTCCCACACCCCCAAAAATACTGCTTGGCCACCAGCCCTGGAAGATCTCAGGTATAAATGCTTTATAGAGAAGCCTTCACTTCCTGGATTCTGTGGCAAGCTAATATCTCAGTGTTTCTTAGTTTCATTTAGCTTCATAAAAATGGGTGGCCTCGTAGGCACAACTAAATGGACTTATTACCCAAATATTTGGAAGCAACTTGGGAAATGTCTTTCTCCTCAATTAAATTTAGCCAGAAACCTTTACTGAGTACCTGCTTTATGCCTTGTTCTTTCAGAACTTAACTTTGATTAAAAAGAACAAAGATCCAGGCAAGGTGGCCCACGCCTGGAATCCCGCAACTTGGGAAGCTGAGGCATGAAGATCAAATGTTCAAAGCCAGCCTCAGCAACTTAGCAAGTCCCTAAGCAACTTAGTGAGACCCTGTCTCTACATAAAAAAATATTTTTTAAAAAAGGGCTGGGGATGTGGCTCAGTGGTTAAGTACCCCTAAGTTCAATTCCTGCTACCAAATAGAAAGAAGAATAATTTTAATAAAATATAGTAAAACCCATCAGGACAATAGAATTGCATCCCATCTGAAGTTGCAATTACCTCAATATTACCTTTATATACAGTGAATCTTAGATTACAAACACCATGGGGATAAAGGATGTGCTTTTTCTTGGCTTTTTCTCAAATCATAGAATTCTCAATTATTCTTTTGTCCTTTTGTTGATGGCAGTTAGTTTGTAGAATCTTAATTAATGTTATTCATTTGACTTACTTTATTAGTTTCCTACCCTTTGCCATTAAATTCATAGTAAGTATTAAAATGTTTTTTAAATACATAAAAGTTGAGACAAAGATATCCCTGTAGAAAGAAAAAAAAAAAAACCTGCAACATTGCAATCATTTCACTTTTCTTATGTAAAACCAGAGGCTTCAAATTTAATGTACAAAATACTAAGAAGAGGGGCTGGGATTGTGGCTCAGCTGTAGAGTGCTTGCCTAGCATGTGTAAGGCCCTGAACTCAATCCTTAGCGGAAGGAAGGAAGAAAGGAAGGAAGGAAGGGAGGGAGGGAGGGAGGAGGAAACTTCTTAGCCTTTCTTTAAAAAAAAAAAAAAAAAAAGAAGATAAATGTTGAATATGAGTTAAACCTGTTTGTTCAGCTGGAAGATCATTAGCATTCTTGGGAACTCAAGCTGTTCTGAATGAACAGCTCATAGGAGCATTATATTTATTTTGAGTTTGCCTAGTCACTCACCTTTGGCTACATGCAGATTTAAAAGTACTGTGCAAACTCATTCACTCTGTCCCTTTAGGGGCTGCCTTCTATTAATTCAGTCTTTCCTAAAATTGTTAAGCAGAAAATAATAACACCAGCTGCCCCATTACGTCAGGTCTTTCTAATGGTTTGTCTTTGAGAGAGAGATCCACTCTGCAGCCTTGTGGAGTGAGAGTAGAGGGAGCCAGGCTCCTGTCCTCTAAAGTGACTGGGTGGAAGTAAGAGTCAAGAAAAGCCAGGGTGTAGCTGGCATGCTGCTGGCACTCCTAGAGAGCTAATGAAGCTGCAATTTGAGATCTGCATGACTTCCTTTTCCTCTGGTAGTATGAGAAGCCACAGAGCACACCTTCTTGGAATCACAATTCAAAAGATTCAAATAAAATTTAAAAAGGAAAAGTATAAGTGAATTGTTGGTCTTTTAATTTAATACATTGTAATTACAAAATGTAACTATTTCATATTTTGATTAAAAGCAACTTGACAAAATTGTCTTGAAGATTTTCTGTATATCTCTTCTTAAGAACTACATCTGGGGGCTGGGATTATGGCTCAGTGGTAGAGCCTATGTGAGGCACTGAGTTTGATCCTCAGCACCACATAAAAATAAATAAAAATAAAACAAAGGTATTGTGTACATCAACTAAAAAATTAAAAAAAAAGAACTACAGCTGAAGAGCAGTATACATGAAAAAAAGAAGTTATCAAGTAACATATTCACAGAGTTGACTTTTTTGAAAGTACCATTTTGTGCAGTGCTTTATTTAATTAAACAATTTTGAACTCCAGAAAAAATTAGGTAGTTTTTGTTTGTTTGTTTTTATAACTTTGAAGCAGAAGATTAAAATAAACTCATATTCTATTGGTTTTTCTTTTAGGAACATATGATTCTTTGCCGGTTTGCAGATCAGACAGCTGTCCAGCTTCCACCCCAAAGAAGGCTCATAGGTATGTATTTTAATACAACAGCTGTTGAGTAGATTATTCACAGTATGCCTAGGAATTAATGGATAGATTCCATATGGGAAAAACTAGTCCATTTATCAATAAGAAACTAAAGTTTGTTCTTCTCAAGAAACTTAATCCATATAAAATAACATTTTGTCCTGTTTGGGTTAACAATACCTTTAAGTAAATTTTCAGTGTTTTTACACTGAATTAAATCACTAACAATTATGAACCAACTACAAAATCTATCAAAAGCCACAAAAGAAAATAACAAAAAATGGAAAAGTTAACCATTATGCCAAAATTGACGAATTTTTAAAAATTATGGCCAGGTGTAGTGGTGCATGCGTGTAATCCCATCTGCTTGGGAGGCGGAGGCAGGAGGATCACGAGTTCAAAGCCAGCCTCAGCAATTTAGCAAGACGCTAAGCAACTCAGTGAGACCCTGTCTCCAATAAAATACAACATAAGGCTAAGGATGTGGCTCAGTGGTCGAGTGCCCCTGAGTTCAATCCCTGGTACCCCCCCCACAAAAAAAAAAGTTATGAACAAGAATGATAATGTTTTCTTTCAAAAAAAAGTATGTTTGTATATTATTTATAATAGAACATTTTACTAAACATTTGCAACATTAAATTGTTGCCTAAATTGGAAGACCACAGAAGTGTTTCAAGTTTATTAAGTAATTGTTTTATCAAAAGATATTGCTTTAGAAAAAATCACATTTAGAAAAATAATAGCAACTGTTACTATAAATTTAAACACTGAGTTAAATGTCCTCACTTATTATCTCCATAAATTCTTATGGGATAGGTACTATTATTTAATTTTAATGAGTGGATGGAGACAAAAGTTTACCTGAGATCTTCACCTAACAGATGATAGAGCCACACTATGAACGCAAATTAGATGATTCCAGACACAAAATTCTTATTTACTTTTGTGATACTGCTTCTCAGCATATTGGAATTACGTTATTGCAAGTTCAGATTCTGAAATTAGGGCTTTACATAAATGGGTCAAATTCAAACTAATCTTAAAAATTATTCAGAGAAGCACCACATTAGGCACTGTCACACTTTCCAAAATTCTAGTACAGAGCCTATTTTTCTTCCATGTTATACTGGTAAAAACTGATTGTTATTTCTTTGGTCGAGCACCAAAGTAGTTAGCTTGAATGAAGTAGTTAGCTTGTATGCAGGTACCATGTTGTATAAGAAATAACTACCATTAAACACTAAAATAAGAGTTAGCAGGGCAAGATGCTCACACTTGGAGAAGCATGAGAGACCTGATATTGAGGGAACAGTGAAATTCCTTCTCTCTCTTACACTCTTAGACATAACATGAAAGGAACTTGCTCTTTTTTCTCCATTCCTCTTCCTTTTCTCATCAACAGTTTGAGTTAGTGAAATATACATTTGATGTAACACCACTAGACCTATGTCTTAGTCTGTTTTATGCTGCTATAACAGACTATCACAGAGTAATTTATAATTAACAGAAATTTATTTGGCTTATTAATTCTGGGGATCAGAAAGTTGCAGTGGAGGGGCTGGCATCTGGTAAGGTCCATTTTGCTATGTTATAACATGGTGGCCATCTCACTGAGAGGGAAAAGTGGGAGTGAATGCTCACATGAGAAGGAACCCATAGTTATGATAACAACCCCACTCTTACAATAATAACAGCATTGATCCAGTTATTTTGTGCCTATGGACTCATCACCACCTATTGTGTCCCACTTCCCAACACTGTTGGGGGGGCATGTTCAAATCATAGCAATTCAATCAATACATAATGGTAGATGGATATATTTATGGTGGATATGCATTTTAAGGGGAGTAACTGTAACGGAAGTGTCTATCATTGAAGAGGAAGAGCATTTGATATAATGTGGACAGGAAGGGGAAAAGGAATGGGTTTCTATAAAGCTATAGATTCCATCAGATGTCTGAATCTGTGCACAGACCATTTCTGTGTTCTCTGAATATTTTTAGGATGTTTACCAAGTCCCAAAATGTAGATGTTGATGACCGAGTTTCAGTTGTAATGGCACTTACACGTGAAAAAGTGAGATTCTTCAGCATAATGAAAAAGAAAAAATTAACTGAACTGGGATCAAAGCCAAGGGTAAATGAGCTGCAATGTAAACCAAGGGTGGGTACTGAAGGAATGTAGAGCATCCCATTATGACAGAGAATGTTTCATTTTAAACTGAAAAGTTGATGAGGTGAACATTTACAGATATCTTAAAGGAAAGATAGTAAAGAAAAAAAGAAAGTTAGCCATAATAGCTGTTTAATGAAGAAAGGGTGATTTGCCTAAATAAAATTGTGGATATCTCTTCATATCATCATTTCTAACACAGTTCATTATTTATGGCATGGGTCCTTCTAAGGAAGTGTGTGACATCAACATTCTGAGTCTCTTGTTCTTAGTTCTTATCTACACCTTCTGCTGTTTTTTTAATGTGAGAATTCTGTCTTCTTTTCTATTTTATTTAACTATCTTCACTTCTGAAGTCATTTTAGTTTAACAGTTTCACTGTTACTCAGTGGAAATAAATTACTATAATTAAAATAATGTTTAGGCATTGTTATAATTATTGAGGAAAAATAGAATAAATGAGGTTCCCAAGAAGACGAAGAAGCTTACATATTGAATTTAGAGCAATCAAAAAATGGGAAAGACAACCATGGCTTTGAATATATTCAGCCCCAAATCAGTTTTTTTTTTTCCCCTGAGCTACTTTTGAAAGTTGAAGTTCATGTTTGCCAAAGGAAAACAAATTGACTGTTTTGCTTGCCAGTCAGGTTTCCTCTTTTGTTTTCCAGAGGTTACAAAGGAAAAAGAGAATTGATATTTTAATAGGGATGGCAAGGTCTGAAAATTAAGAGTATATTTTACTCAACATTACATATCTACCTTAAATAATGAGTACACGATTGAGAATTTCTCAACATATTTTCCATTTCTTATTTCCTGGAGTCTGAAAAAGCTCCGGGTAGAAAATGTAGCATGACTATCAGATGGTCCTTTGTCAGCATGTTACTTTAGATATTCTCAAATACAGATTTTTTTTTTTTTTACAATATTAGAGAAAATGTAGTTTTATAGGAAAACAATGACAAGATGTTTAAAAGGATTTTAACCAAATTAGAAAACAGAATTTAAAGTTATATTTGAGGTTTATTTATAAATATATTAAAAGGCTACTAGTCTTTAAATTAGCAGAGTTAATTTGTGAAATGTGATTATTTATACCTACCTTCTCTCCATACTGATTAAGAATTAAATAAAAAAAAAACTGAACAGTACTTGGGAGTAAACAGTATTCTTCATAGTACTTGTAGATTTTGTCACTGTGTGGATTTCTTTAGACCAAATGAAATTGTCCTGCTAGAAGAAGGGTATTCTCATGATACCATTTCACTGTATTTCAGGAAAACAGTGCATGTGCCTGGTGGATCTGGACCGAGCAAGAGCTGCAGAAGAACGTGGTTATTCTGTTCAAGTGATATCCATGGAGCCAGAGAGCTGCTCTCCCAAAAACAACATGATAGTGGGAGTCCCCACTTAGATTGAGATGTTTACATTTGATATTTTGCCATTGGCTCCATGATGAAAGCCCAGTGGCATTCAGGAGGTTCTTGGCATAAGTAGGAAACAGCATTAGCCATCCTGAGCCTATTGTGCTCAGGAAGGAAAGCAACAGGAAAATCTTGGAAGAAAGGCTGCCTGCAAAGCATCACAAATACTCTTACAATGTGCGATCAAGGGCTGGTGGTTTTCATAGTGAGAATCCCCTGACGTCTCAGCTGCCAAAAGAATAATACTCACCATTGAAGGTTTCATTACTGGAATAACAATTTCCTTCTCATTTCACAAGCTTTTCTGATCTTGCCAATGTGATATTTAATTCAAAACAATGTACTTGCAGCCTTTATTTTATAATCTTAGATATTTACACACAGAAACTGAAAAACTTTGTGGGGGTTTTGTGTTTTTTTTATATTTTTCAAACAATGGTACTTTTATAATTTTATAAAACTCTAGGAAGGCAATTACAGTATGGGTATTTTTAAGCTGGGGTCAGTTGAACTTATATACATTTAGGATTATCCTTTTAAATAATTGCCCATAAATTACCAAATGTGATCATTTCTGGTTCAAACATTTTGGGTGAAAAGATTCTAAAGTCATTGCAGTAAGTTTCATCTTGTGGGAATATGGAATTTGGACATAAATTCTAATTAATTGGCAAATACATTGATATCTTAATTCAAATCTATTCATAATAATTTAGGATCCATTATTTTTCACAACCCTGGCCTAGATTTTTCTGAAGATATGAAGATGAATTGCAAGAAATACAATTTTACCTATGCAAGTAAATCAATTAGAAGGAAATATTGAAGAATTAGTGAAGTTCTTTATGTCAGACCATAATGTATGGTCTTATTGTTTTGTTTAATTCTTGGTAAAAATTATCAAGCATAAATTGGGAATGTGAAGAGTGCGGAGTATGGAAGCTTATTTGAATAGTTCTGTCTGCCTAAATTCTTTTTCTTCCAGATAACATTTTTAGAGACAGGTAGTAATCTTCTCTCATATGCTGCTATTTATTTAACTTCACATGTCCTAGATTATTCAATTTAAGATTTATTTTATTGTTTTTAATTCCTATATGACATATATCATAAGAGGAAAGAACTTGGATTGTTCATCACTCAGATAAAAATAGGAATAATTTACAATAATATGAATGGGAGAAGGGAGTTTTGTAGTCTGATTTCCTGGCATAAATTTTAAGGAAAGCACTACTGGCTCTGAGTAATTTAGTCTTTTGTGCCTGTAGCTACAATGCTCCTTTACTGTGGACTTTCTTTTTTAAATCAAGATATCATTTATATACAATATAATAACAAGTTTTTAAGTGTTCCATTTGAAAAGTTTTAACAACTGTATGTAACTACACAACTTCCACCAAAATAAGATGTAGAATATTTCTGTCAGATGTTGCCAAAAATATGTATTGAGAATATTTTTGTAGTCTGTGGACTATTCATTTTCACAATAAAAGTTTTAATTTTGATGAAGCTGGATTTATCTTTTTTTCTTTTATGATACATATTTTCTTTATATTCTCTAATAAATTTTTATCTACCCTAAGGTCATAAAGATTTCTCCTATTATAAGAACTTTATGATCCCATCTTTTTATATTCTGGTCTATCATCTATCCCAAATCATTTTTCACATAAAGAGGTAGGTATATTTTGATGAATAGTTATTTCAGTACCATTTTTAAAAAATCCTTTCCCATTAAAATGACTTGGTACCTCAGTTGAAAATCTGTGTGTGTGTTTGTGTGTGTGTGTGTGTGTGTGTGTGTATGCATATGGATATACGGGTTTGTGTGTGTTTTCTCAATTCTTTTGTTTGTCTTACTAATTTATTGGTTGCAAAAACTTTATAGTATGTCAGAAAAGCAGGTAGTTAGTCTTCCAACTTAATTTTTCATTCTCTAGATTGTATTTGCTGTTCTAGATCCATTGTATTTTTATATAAACCCTAGAATTAGCTCATCAATTTATTTTTATAATTTTACAAAATTAAAACTTGCTGGAATTTTTGGTATTCTCTATTTAGATTAATTTGGGGAAATTCAGCATCTAAACAGTTGTTGGATCTAATAACCATGAATATATCTTTCACTATATTTAGGTTTCTTTTAATTATACTCAGCAATATTTTGTAATTTTCAGTGTAGAAGATTTTTTTAATTCATTATTTAATGATGTTTAGGCTACTAACTCTGAGCTTTTACATGCTGTTCCCACTACTCAGAATAGTCTCCTTTTATCCCTTCTTCTAGTTTAAACTCATTCGTCTTCTGCTGTAATATTTGACCTCCTGAGGTAAGCCTTTCACAATCTTCCTGGACCAATGAACCTGCAATAGCATGTCTACCATGTAGGGCAGTCATCTCCCCATCCCTCCCAAATTATGGAAAATAAAACAAAAAATGCAGGAACCCTATTGTTCTCCCACCGTGCTCTAGCCTTGGCATTCTCCAGCTCTGAGTGCTGTGGCTAGAAATAGATCCAGGTGTAGTGATTTCTGTATGTAAGCCTTTGCCAAAACTTCTTCCCAGCCAGGCCAAATAAAAGGGATTGAATGCAGGCAACAGGAAGACTGTTGCAAGTGACCTGATCTCACCCCCATTCTTGTCCATCAAAAGCAAGGCTGCTCCTCTCTGATATGTGTCTTTCAAGGTTGTAATAACATTAGAAACTAGAGATCATCTTTCTTTGCCTTTGAATCTGACTCAGAAAAACAAGAGAATATTATTAATGATTAAACTACTTTATCTTATTTAGGTATTATTGGAATTACAGTCTTAGGTCATTCATAATAGAAATAAAAATATTTGCAGGGCATGAATGCAAAATTATACATAAATAACAGTAATGAAACAGTCTGATTCTAAAGACTTTGTTGCCCATTTTCATGTTTCAAGAAAATTATTAACAGAACTTGCACACACTGAAACTTGTTTTTTCTATTGACTTTGATAATAAAATTAGAGATATGGTCCTTAGAGATTGTGTACAATATGTCAAAATGCATTGCACTGCAAAATAAATAAATAAACTTAAAAAAAATAAAAATAAGTGTTCATAATAAAGAAAGCAATACATTTTTAAATTAAACTTTTTTTAAAAGTAATATGGAATTTTTAAATAGAATTTTTAAATTACTCAAATAATGGTTGATGTAGTAGAGCTAGAAGGTGAAGCTAAACAAAAACAAGAATATTTTAAATTCATTGTCTTAATACTTTATTGTATACTTGTTTCTTTCTTTCTTTTTTCTTTTTTTTTTTTTTTTTTTTGGTGGTGGTGGTGGTGATGGTGGTACCAGAGATTGAAGGTTAAACTCAGACCCTTGTGCATGCTAGGCAAGTGTTCTACCACTGAGCTACCTCCCCAGCCCCATTATACTTCGTTTTGTTTTATAGAATTTTTTTATTTTTATTTTTTTGTTGTTGATGGACCTTTATTTTATTCATTTATTTATATGCGATGCTGAGAATCAAACCCAGTGCTTCACACATGCAAGGCAAGTGTTCTACCACTGAGCCACAACCCTAGCCTTATACTTTGTAAAATAAATCTCTATGTATAAAACAAATACTAATACAGTACATGGTATTTCCTAGACACTATCCCAAGCCCTTACAAATAATAATTCAATGTTTTAAGTTATTTAATCCTCATAATGACCTCGTGAGCTAGATATTAGCAATCCCATTTTACAGAAAGTAAGGCTACAGTTACACTGTAAAAGCAGACCTGGGTTTGAAACCAGTCAGTAATTGGCAGAGCTGATACTCAAATTCGGTCTCTTTTAGCAATCTTTGAAGCAGGACTGGCTGGTATGAACAATAATAACAAAATCTCAATGCCTTTACAAAAGAAAGATATTTTTCACTAACATGACATATTCATCCAAATTGCTATGAATGTTCCACACTGTCTTCACACCAAGACCTGACCTGACCAAGCATTGTCTATAGGGAACATAGCTGGTCTCCTAGGAGGGGGGAAATATAGCAAATTACCATCGGATTATTAAAAATTCAGTTCAGGCCCGCCTGTCCGGCACCCGAACAGCCCCGCCTGCACGGCGAATGAGATACCACCTTGGCAGAGAACTGACGTCATGGGCGGAGGAGATAACTTCATTGAAACCAGTGTGACAGGTGTGTAATCCCCTAGCCATCTCTCTCCACACAGCGGGGAATCCTTAAGAGCCCCTCCCAGCTCTCCTGTGAGCTCCGTAGCCAGACCGAGGGAATCAGGAGTGGCGCGGGACTCGCGGCACGGAACTCCCTGCTACCACTCCCACCAGTGCTGACAACTGAGGTCTCTTGCACCAGCTACCGGGGGCGTGGCTACTGGAGGGCAAGCAAATTCGCTGGGGGCTCTCACCCCCAAGCTCTACAAACTTAGGGTCTGAGGGAGGCAAACAGGGAGAGTGTGCCCAGGTGTTCATGAAAACAGGGCTCCCAGGAGCAGCAGACCTGGCGTGTAACCAGTATTGTGGTAAGCGTCACAGGTGAGCGGGGCCTGGTTTGAAGAAACACAAGAGAAGGCCCTAGGCACTCAGGATTGGAGACCCACCCAGTCTGGGAGGAAGAGCTGCTGCACAGTGAATGGTTCCCACCTATTGAGAGGAGAAGCTTGGCCCAGTGGGCACAGCTACACCTACTGGAAGAGAAGTTAATCGAACTCTATGACTGCATTTATTATTTTTTTTTTCTTTTTCTTTCATTTTCATTTTTTTGTTGGTGTTGTTGTTCTTTAACTTTTTTTAATGTTTTTAATTTTAAAAATTTTTTTTTTATTTTATTATTAGTAGTATTATTTCTTTAAATTTTAATTTGCATTTTTTATTATCTTTATTATTTTTTTTTAAAAAAATTTTTTTCTTTCTTTATTTTCTATATTTTTCTTTTGTCTTTTCATTTCTTTTCAATTTTCTTATGCCCCCTTCCTTGAATTCTACCTGCCTACTCTCATTCTCTTTAGTGACTTCTTCCCTTCCCTTCTAATATACTTCCTCCCAAGCATCAAATAAATTTATAAGAATAAACAGTAACTCAGCAGTCAAATAGAACAAGAAGTAACATGAGCAGCATAAAAAAGCAAGGAAGAAAAGGAGTACAAACAATGAAGGAGACAGCCTAAATATTCAGGAGGATCTAGAGTCATTAGAAAAATGGTCATATAAAGATCTCAAGGAATACCTTAGACAAATGGAATGGAACCTTAAAGAGGATACGAGACAGCAAATCCAAACAGTAAAAGAACTCATTGAAAGTGAATTACATAAACAGATAAAAGAAGAAGTTAAGCATCTTTATCAAGAGATAGAGATTATAAAAAAAAATCAAACAATAATTCTAGAAATGAAGGAAACGATAAACCAAATTAAAAACTCAATTGAGAGTATCACTAACAGAATGGAGCAAGTAAAAGCCAGAACGTCAGATAATGAAGACAAAATATATCATCTTGAAAAGAGTCTAGCCAACTCAGAAAGGCTGGTAAAAAATCACGAGAAAAACATCCAAGAGATATGGGATAATATAAAAAAAACAAACTTACAAGTCATCGGGATAGAGGAAGGTACAGAGATTCAAACCAAGGGAGTGAGTAACCTGCTGAATGAAATAATTACACAAAACTTTCCAGAAATAAAAAAGGAAACGGATATACAAATTGTAGATGCATACAGGACACTGAGCACACAAAATCACAGTAGACCAACGCCAAGACACATTGTTATGAAGATATCCAATATACAGAACAAAGAGAAAATATTAAAAGCTACAAGAGAAAGGAGGCAGATTACATTCAGGGGTAAACCAATAAGGTTAACAACGGATTTTTCATCACAGACGCTGAAAGCGAGAAGATCCTGGAACAATGTATTTCAAACACTGAAAGACAATGGATTCCAACCAAGAACTCTGTATCCAGCAAAATTAAGCTTCAGGTACGACAACAAAATAAAAATCTTTCATGATAAACAAAAGCTAAAAGAATTTGCAGCCAGAAAACCAGCATTGCAAAGCATCTTGAGCAAAACACTACACGAGGAAGAAATGAAAAACAATAACCAAAACCATCAGTGGGAAGTGCCTCTGTAAAGACAGAGGGCGGGGGGAAAGCTAATCATGGAGAAACAAACTAATTTAAAAAAATAAAATAAAAAAGAAGATAAATAATCAAACATGGCTGGAAGTACAAACCATATATCAATAGTAACTCTAAACGTTAATGGCTTAAACTCTCCAATAAAGCGACATAGGCTGGTAACATGGATTAAAAAAACAAATCCAACAATATGCTGCCTCCAGGAGACACATCTGATTGGAAAAGACATACACAGGCTGAAGGTGAAAGGTTGGGAAAAAATATACCACACACACGGTCCTCGTAAGCAA